TTTGAAGTGGGTAGTGATGCAGCTGCAGTGTGGCTTCTGGTCCGTGGTCGTGTCTCATCTTCTGTGTGGGTGTGAGTCTGCTTTTTACGTGGAAGTAAAAGATGCCACCACACACACACACACACACACACACACACACACACACACACACATATATATAAAATAGAAGTATCCTAACATCTCAAACATCTTCACTCCACAAATCAGCACAATTCAAACTAAAAAGTCATTCATAATGGTTGAGGGCCACTTTTAAAAGGTGGTATAACAGGAAGAAGAAATGTAAACGGCTCTTACAAATAAAATCAAATAAAACATAGTTTATTTATCTAGACCAGGCTGTTTTATGAAAGTTCATTCATGGAACTGATTTTAAAATAAACATAGCAAAGCTCTGTATAATCCTTCCTATAGTTTTACATGCTTTGTAATATAACACAGTTGTGATGATCATGCATTCAGAAAGTTTTCGATCAGGGTGGGCTACCTGCTCTAACATATGCCAGTGAAACATGGACACTAACCTCACAATCAATACAAAAGCTAAGCGAAGAGTTATGGAAAGATACATGCTCGGCATTACAAGCCAAGATAGAAACACCGGTGCATGGATTAGAAAACAAACCAAAATATGCAATATCATCAAGAGAATAAAAGAATTGAAATAGAAACGGGCTGGTCACATAGCAAGAAGCCCCAATGGCAGGTGAACCAAGGCAGTCATAGAATGGATCTCACTTGATAAAAAATGTCCATGAAAGAGACCTAAAATAAGATGGATCAATGACATCAGCAAGTATTACGGGCCCAATTGGCAAAAGGACCGTACTGGTTAGAAACATGCAGAAGAGATCTTCTTCCTACAGTGGATAGACAATGGCTAGAATGATGATGATGATCATGCAACCCATGATCATTTGCATCCACAGGTCTATTTCAGAAACTCAATGACACTTTGGAAGCTTGTTATCAGAATTTCACCATAAACCACTCTGATCTGACAACTTGACTAAAGATATACCGGTACTTGTGATATATATTAGATTACATTTTCAGAATGTAAGTCCAAGAGACTTAAGACAGAAGCAATAGCTGAATAGTTGAACTAGGGGAGATCTAATTTCTCATCCATTTAAATAATAAATCTGTACAATAAAACTTAACACATCAGGAAGAATAATAGACCAGCACTTCAGAGTTATAATTCTGTAAGGGCAGCAATTTAAAATATATCTAAAACATTTATATCATAACCTAGACAATAGACCACTAAAACAGAATGTAATAAAAAGGTACCAAAACATTTATGTTAGATTTAATTATGGGACAATAGTGGTGACATGGCAACAAAGCTATCCACTCCCTAGTGATAATATACAAAATAATACTAGTGACAATTCAATGGCTGTAGAGGTACATAACTCTTATGAATCTGAAGTATTTGCATTTTACTTGCAACCAGAGGTGAAACAATTCAAAGGCTTAACTATGCTCAGTTGCTTAGTTAAGTTAGTTGATAAGAAACAGTATTGCATATGGAGTCCACATCTTACCTCAAAATAATATATAGATTCTAGTCTAGTTCATATTAAAAAGTAGCACAGGATCTCTCATTCTCCATTACTTTTTATACCTTGTAGTAATAAAATTGTCAAAGAATGATTCATCTATATTCATGCCTAATCCCTATTAGAAGAATGCTGCAATTTGTTAGAGTATATATACTACTTAAACATATTTAAACTTACTGTTATAATTAAATGATGCAGTTTACTTTATTTTTTATAATGCTGGTTTTATTTTAATTTATTTTAAGGGGACAGAACTATACATAATTGTGAAAGTGTCTGGTGCTCTTTTTAAAAAACATGTTTATTCAAATATTGCTACATAACAAATTTCAATTTAGTTTTTGTTCCTGGGTACAAAGTGTTTTTTTCCTGATTCCTTATGCCTAAAATAAATACAAAATAACTACTGTTCCACAAAAACTTTGCTTCTGTGGTCAGAACAATATTTTGAAATTTATCTCTTTTTGTGAGCATTCTCAATTTATATTCAATGCCTAGTGGACTTCCAGAATATTCTGTAATTATGAAAATTGTCAAAAAGTTTCTAGAAGTGGCCAGAATTTTCTAGAACTTTCTGGACTCTTTTACCTTTCCTAGAACTTTCTGAAATCCTTTAATTTTCAAGCATTTTCTGGGACTATCCAACAGCATCCATAGAAGTATAAAAGTACAGATGCCTTAAACCAACATTTTAGTTTGTCTAATTGCTAAATAAGAGAACAGTAAACAGTAATATTTAATTTGGATGGCATCAAGAGGTTGTTTGCACCCAGCAGATGCAGCTTGCTACGTGTGTGGACAATTTATCAAGAGAAGAGTGAAAAAGTACTCTGTAAAAGCATGTGTTAAGATGTGCCAGGCCTACAAACCATACTTTGGAATGCTTGTTGGGGAATCAAGACAAGCCCTGGGCACCTCATTTCACATGCGAACACTGCAACTAAACTCTTGAAGGTAAGGTGAATAATTGCTGCTCACTAGATAGAATTTCAGTGAATTATTAGTTTAAAAGAGTTGCAATTAAGAAAATTTTCACTATTTTCAATCTTTTAGGAAAATAGACAATATATATTTTATGCCCTACAACAATATCTTGCACAAAATTAGGCAATGTGTGAAATATCTTTTTTTTAAAAATTTACATAATTCTGCTGTTGCAGGCTGATACAGGGGAAGAAAGAAAACCATGATGTTTGCTATTCCAAGAATTTGGTGGAAACCAACTGACCATTCAAGTAACTGCTATTTCTGCATAGTCAATCCTTCCAAACATCGAAATGGCAAGAGCGCCCCTCATATCGTGTATGCAGGCATTCCTTCATCCATCACTCCTGTACCACACTGCCCTGAGTTCCCCATTCCCATCCCTCCGGAGAGGGATCTGTCAAGAGTGAGAAGCAAGTCACACAGTGAGTAAGATATTGCAGATACAGATTACAATTACACAGATGTGGCCGAGGAGAGAAAGCCATACTTACCCAACCAGAAAGACCTCAAAGATCTGATCAGAGACCTTGATCTTACCAAGTCCCATGCTGAGTTTCTGACATTTAGGCTCAAAGAGTGGAACTTGTTGCATGAAAGTGTGCAAGTCACAGATGAGAAAAAGTGTTTTTCCAATTTCTTCAGTCAGCAAGATGGGCTGTACTTCTGAAACAATGTGGCCAGTCTATTTGAGGCTACAGGAATCACCTGCAACCCAAGTGAATGCTGCCATATTTATCCAGGAGCTTCAACACCTTGTTGCTTCATAATGAGAAAAAGAACCCATCTCTCCCTATGGCTCACTCTGTGCATCTCAAGGAGGACCACACCAGTGTCAAGTTGTTGCTGACTGCCTTGAAGTATGACCATTATGGCTGGGAGATCATTGGAGACTTCAAAATAGTGTCATTCCTGATGGGACTCCAAGGCAACTTTCACAAACTTTTCTTGTTTTCTTTGCCTCTGGATCAGCCGGGACACTAAGGTGTAGTATCACAGAAGGGACTGGCCACAGCAGACTGAGTTCTCCTTAGAAAACAACAACATAAAGTGGGAGCCACTGGTAGAACCCCGGAAGATGCGGATGCTACCACTGTGCATCAAGTTAGGCTTCATCAAACAATTTGTCACAGCTCTAGACAAGGAGTCAGAAGCTTTCAAGTACCTTCAAGTTCTCTTTCCACAGCTGTCAGAGGCAAAAGTTAAAACTGGTATCTTTGTTGGACCACAGATAAAGAAGATAATAGAGTGTGACGAATTCGCCAAGAAACTGAACAGGATGGAGAAAGAGGCTTGGAACTGTTCCATTGTAATGGTTCATGGTTTTCTGGGTAATCACAAGGCTTAAAACTATGAGCAGCTGGTTCAGACTCTCATAAAGTATTATGCCAAAACGGGGTACAGAATGTCCTTCAAGATTCATATCCTTGATGCTTATCTTGACAAATTGACAAATTGACAAATTCAAGGAGAACAGGGGTCCTTACTCAGAGGAGTAAGGTGAATGCTTTCATCAAGATATAATGGACTTTGAATGTCATTACCAAGGACAATATAATGAAAACATGATGGGGGGACTATGCTTGGAGGCCTCTCTGAGAAAGTGATTTGCAGTATACCCGCAAATCTAGAAAATCTACTCATTTCTGAACCCTTATGAGTAGTTTTGACTGTCTTTGTGTATTTGTCATCCAAATATATATTGTTCTTCTCTAACTGCTTAAAAAGATAAAAAAAAAAAAACTGCCTGTATTGTAAATATGAAATTTTCTCATCACTTTAAGGCTCCTGAAATGCTGTGTTTCCAGTCATGTTAGACTTTGAACCGAGTGCTCAATATGTGTATACTTATAAAGGGCAGAAAATGAAGTCTCTCTGTTTTTACTTCTTTCGGTTACACAAAGTCCATAAATTAATAAGCTGTTTACATCCTATAAGCCAGCAAATACCTTGAATATGGGGGAGGAGTGATATATGAGCAGCCTCCTACATGGAACACAGACTGCAGGTAGAGAGGAAATGGCCTCTTACTGCAGAACTGCCACATTTATAAGCTTACTCGGTTCCCATTTTATAGTAGAGTGATAACAAAGGAAATGAAAAATAGCGACTCAGATGTGATCCGACATTCAACTTCTGTAAATTTCATTACATGCAGAAGGTCGGTGGGGGGGGGGGGGGGAGAGAGAACTTCCTAAGAGGGAAGACATGGAAACAAACACCACCCCTACATACATTACTCAAGCATATCTTGAAAAGTGACGCTGTAAAAGAGGAGATGGTGAAGAAACATGCACGAGTCCCTCCTCTTTCAAAAATGAAGGGAAGCCACATTACATGTCAAGGAAGAAAGGCTGTGAAGCCAAGATGAGAAACCCACAACATGCTCTTTCGGCTGCATACCTGGAGTCAGGAAGAAGACACAGGAGGCTCATTCAGACTTACCTTGTCACCCGCACTTTCTCTTTCATGATCTCCACCAGCTTCTCCACCAGCTCCTCGCCGCCTAAGCTCCGACATCTCGGAAGACATGAAAGCAGCAGCCAGGGCACAAGGAAGCAATCCGAAGATGGGCAGGGTGTCAACCCCTTTTATGTCAGATTTTATTCCAAAGGTTAGGCCTCTAGTCCATTTTATATCCCGGATGCCACCTAGGAAAGAACTCGTCGGCAATGAAGGAGGGAAACCCTATTTCCTCCCAACAGAGCACCTGAAATCACTTCTCTGCTGCAAAAGAACACGGCGATCCTGGGAGTCTCTTTTTTTTTTTTTTTTGCAGACTAAGCCTTAAGAGGCAGCATTTTGGAAGGCGTCCTGAAGGTCGGTCTCCTCTCCCGTTTTTTCACGTCCAAGTAGGAGGGTCCCTCAAATCGGAGGAGCAAAAAAAAAAAAACCCTCCTTCATTCAATGTTCCCCAAGAGCGCTTTTTTTGTTGTTGTTGTTGCCTAATCCTTTCACGGGGAAAAGGGGAAGGCTAGCTGCTTCCCACAAGGAAGGCTCAGGAAAAAAAAAAATTTTTTTTTGTAATATGAATCCATGTAACCTTCCTTTCCCATTCAAACAGCCTTCCTTCCACACAGAGTTCTTTTTATTGCATAGTCCTGGCTGAAGGAATACCGAAACCAATCCAAGCTTCCGGTCTTTTTTTTTTTTTTTCCTTTCCCCCCCGAAAATTAAGATGGGAAAATGAAGAGGTGGCTTTTTTCACTTCAGGAGTAGTTTTGGGCGGGGGGATCTCCGAGAAAACTGACCCTCTTGAGCAGCTCCTCCAAGGCAGGCGGGACTCCTTCTCATGCACCCGGGCGCCCCCCCCACCTCACTCGCACACCCCTAAGCTAAAGTTCACCTACCTTCTTCTCCCCCTCACTCCATAAAACCCCCACAGCTACGAAATGCGAGCGTCCACCCACCCGCCCCCGCCCTTCCTCCCCATGCTTTCTTTCCACAAGAGGCGCCCCTCCGAAGGGCCTCTCAGAAAGACGGGACAGTCAAAGCCCCTCACTTTCCTCCCTTCACCTGCCCCCAATTTGGAGGTTAGGGAGGGACGACCCTGCCCGGTGAGACCTCGGCCCCCTACGCGCCCTCCTCCCTCCCCTGAGAGGGGAAAGAAGAAAAAAAAGCCGAAGCGAGCGAGCCAAGAGACGGTTGGCTGCGCGCGCACGTACACACACAAGCGCGCGCGCCTGCTTCTGCTAAGCAACCTCCCGCTTCTGGCGTTCTTCCGGGCCACGCCCCCTCGGATGAGGCACTAGCCCCGCCCCTTTCTCTCTCTTTCCCCCCCCCCCCCCCTTTTCGCCTTGGCCCCGCGGAGGCGAAAGGCGGTTACGCGACTGAGGTAAAAGTGTCAATAACTACAGAATAAATGACATGTTTCCTGGTTTTGCAACAACTGTGCTCCGAGGCTCACGAAATATGTACAGGTAGCCAGTCCTCGGCTTAACGACCCCAAATTGAAGCCCAAAATTATTGCTGTGAGGCGTTTGTCAAGGGAGGCTTTGCCCCGTTTTGCAACCTTTTCTTGCCAACCGTTGTTAAGTGAATTCACTGTGGTTGATAAGTTAGAAACCCCCGGGGGTTAAGTGAATCGGGCTTCCCCATTGACTTTGCTTGTCCGAAGGTTGCAAAAGGGACATAGCTATGGTCATAAGTATGAAGCAATTGCCAAGCATCTGAATTTTGATCACATGATCATGGGGAGGCTACAAAGGTGGTAACGCGGAAAAACTGTCGAATTTTTCAGTGCTGCTGTAACTCTGAAGGGTCACTAAATGGAACGGTTGTAAATCGAGAACTACCTGCATTGGATGAAGAAGGAGCAGGAAGAGAAAGAAGAGGAGGAACTTCACATTTCATTTCGATAGGATACCTGCCCAGGTAATGGCACCATATCTTATTAAGTTGTAAAAAGTAAACTTTGAAGACTCGGTAAAAGGCAGGTAGGTGAGCAAACAGAATTAGGCAGGTGTGACTAACGGTGAAAGTGAAAAAGGTAAGTGTGAGAAACCACAGAGGACATAGCAGTTGAAGGCAGCTAAAAGTGAAGGGGCCAATCAACAAGAGTGCAGGTAGCCCTCGACTTACAACAGTTCATATAGTGACTGTTCGAAGTTACAATGGCAGTGGAAAAAGTGACTTCTGATGATTTTTTCAAACTTATGACCATTGCAACATCCCTATCGTCACGTGATTTACATTCAGATGCTTGACGACTGGTTCATATTTATGACAGTTGCAGAGTTCCGGAGTCAGGTGATTGTCTTTTGCGACCTTCTGACAAGCAAAGTCAATGGGGAAGCCATATTCATTCAATATGGTGTTTGTTCCTGACCAGCTCAAGGTTGACTCAGCCTTCCATCCGAGGTCGGTAAAATGAGGACCCAGATTGTTGGCAATGTGCTGACATTGCAAACTGCTGAGGTAGCGCTGTGGTTAGAGTGCAGTACTGCAGGCTGCTTCTGCTGACTGCAATTTGGCAGAACGAATCCCAACAGGCTCAAGGTTGACTCAGCCTTCCATCCTTCCGAGGTGGGTAAAATGAGGACCCAGATAGTTGGGAGCAATAGGCTGACTCTGTAAAACCACTTAGAGAGGGTTGTAAAGCACCGTGAAGAGGTAATATAAGTCTAAGTGCTATTGCTATTGCTATTTCATCTTAGAATCAGATGCACATAGCAGGTTTGGAAGAGTGGGAAAAGAAATATATTAGGATATTAAATTTAGCAGCTGGAACAGTAAAGCCTGCAACGGGCCAGAACATTGCAGTTGTATGATGGACTGGCTCATGCGCGAGGCAATCTGTGCTGTGATTGGCTGCTGTGGGTAGAAAGGGGGCATTTCCCTTTTTTCCCACCTTTTTCTTCCATGAGTCGTTTGATTTACCTCACGAAGTCCCTGGCTATCTCATCTGCTGTGAATATAAACGTTAAATGCATTTATACAAAAACTACAAGTTTGAAGTCAGTGTCTCTGACTTCATTCGGACAGTTGCTGCGCAATTCCCTGACCAAATTGTATTGCACAATTTCAAGTAGTGACAGCATTATTCTGCCTGTCCTGTACAAATACTGTGCAAAGGCAGATAGATAAATTCCACAAAGCATCCATACAAAGTCTTTTTAATTGGTTCATCAGGCATCCTGTCAACTCACATTTATGATGAGGTTCTTCTTAATGTCCAGTCCTTAGCATATCTGAATTGTGGTGTAGGAAGATAATAAGGTCTCAACCCCATGATGATTGAAGCAGCCGCATGGTAATGGCTTCAGGCAAGAGTGAGGGAGCCTCCCCCAACCCAACAAGGGTCAATTTAGTGACCAATCAGGATTACAGATGTGACCACATAACATGGACTACATTTCCCAGGATACCTTAACTATATTTACCATGATGCATTCCCTAAGGGAACAGCTCTCAATCCTAACTAACTATCCCAAATCCCATTAATTCTAAACTGTCTGGACAGCGCAAGCATGATGCCATGGCTTTACAGTTTAGGCAACACAAGACGGTCAGCTGGTAGCTCAGCAGAGACATTTAGTGTTTGCCAGATTATCAGAGCGTGTTAGTAATAATATATGAAATTCTAATGCTCTGATAGTCATTTTGAAAAATTCTTTCTTAGTGAGCACCTAGAAGCCAAGAGGGACATAGATAGAAGAAGAAAAGAAAGAAAGAAGAAAGGAAGGAAGGAAGGAAGGAAGGAAGGAAGGAAGGAAGGAAGGAAGGAAGGAAGGAAGAAAGAAAGAAAGAAAGAAAGAAAGAAAGAAAGAAAGAAAGAAAGAAAGAAAGAAAGAAAGAAAGAAAGAAAGAAAGAAAGAAAGAAAGAAAGAAAGAAAGAAAAAGAAAGAAAGAGAGAGAAAGATGGATGGATGTATATTGAGCCCTGATGGTGCAGTAGTTAGAATGCAGTACTGCAGGCTACTTCTGTTGATCAGTTTGGGTCTCACGGGCTCAAGGTTGACTCAGCCTTCTGTCCTCCTGAGGTCGGTAAAATGGGGACCCTGTTTGTTGGGGACAATAGACTGACTCTGTAAACCGCTTAGAGAGGGCTGTAAAGCAGGATAAAGTGATATATAAATCTAAGTGCTATTGCTTTGTTGGAAGAAATATCCATCTGTTTCAATTCTAAGTTGGGAGAAAAACACTGGAAAAATAGAGGCTGATTGGAAAGATGGTTTAATAATGAAGCAGAACCATATGGGTTCTAGGCACATGGAGTTGAGAGTGGGGGGTTTATACCTTCTCTTGGGCTTTGCACTTGAGCTTCCTGTTCCTTTGCAAGAACATGTATTCTATTGGTGGTTGTCAAACTCCCATGGGACCATGTACAAATCCTAGGAGTTTGTCTGAGCTTGGTTGAAGTATGGTTGAAGTTTCTAAGGGTGAAGCAATGAAGGAGCGTTGAACAATTCTTATTGTGGCTGAGAGCTAATCCTACCTTTGTTGGATCTTGGGTGAGGGTATTTGCTTATGAATAGAGCTAGCTATCTCTGAGGGCTATTAAGGAAGGTAGAGGCTGCTTTCCAAGAGCACGTTTCTCCATTTCTCATCCAGGAAAATATAATAATCTGCCTTTTTAATATTTTTCAGAATATTTCATTCTTCTAGGAGAGGGGTGGGTGCTAACTTTCTACAACTATTGCTACTAATGTAACAACTGTAGTGATTCAGTTAACAAATGTGGCAAGAAAAATTGTAAAATGAGACAAAACTCACAACAAATTTCTCACTTAGCAACATAAATTCTGGGCTCAATTGTGATTATAAGTCGAGGGCTACCATATAGCTACCAGATTATATAATGTAATGTGGGATTTCATGCAAAATTCTGCTTTGCAGAGTATGAAGATACATCTGAGATTCCCCAACCTTTTTTTTAATTCAGGACGTCCTACTTGGAATAAATATAGGATTCAATTACAGTGTTTGAAGTATTTGTAAAATATTTGATACTATTTGTGGCCATCTTGTGGTTATCATTTTGGAATGCAAATCTTTTAATGCCATCCTTGGCTCTTTGTCCCAGTAGTAGTTTTTTCTGTATTTTAAATTCAAAATTTTTGGAAGCCACCAAATAAATTGTGAAATAAATAAAAAGTGTAATTTATTATTCCTCAGTGTAAAGTAGGGTAGTGATTTCCAATCAGTCTAAAAAGCCAAGCTTTCTCTAGTCCAAATGGTGTTCTGCGCAGGTACATGGGTATAGATATTCATGTCTTTAATTTCACTTTAAAATTATCTCTTTCTTCAATAAAATAGCAAATTTATTTCTAAATAAATGTGTTTAGCACAAGGGCAGCAGAAACAAAATAAATTTATCTTTGTAGTTTAAGATGGTTCCGTGATTCAGCAATAATACAAAATTATATATGCCAGCATGTATTTATTCATTTTAAATCAAGATGGCAAATGAAATGTATTAATAATATAGCATATATAACTACAATGGGAGAAATGTCAGTGTGGGTGGAAATGCTAACTATATGTTTCATAATTGAGATATTGCTTGTGTCTATCTAGGGATGATCCCTGTCACACCATTACATCCAGCTTTTTATTGATGCCACATTTGCAACATGTACAATGCTTTCTTTAAAAAAAAATAGATTTCCATGGGCAAACAATTGTCAATGAAAACAAGGGGGAGCTTTAGGAACTTCTAACTTTTAATTTAACTGCTTTTCCAAAAAAAAAAAAATCGGTCTGCCCCTGTTGACTGATGGGACCCCAAGTGATTTCAGAGGGAACTGGAGATTGTCCCTGTTGGTCTTCTAAAATGGTTCATCTTAAGCTTTTGTTACCACTTGGAATCAGGGGGAGGCCTTGCCACCTCTCTCCTTTCAGGATCTTAGCATTTCCCATGATTTACAGAGGAACTAAACATGAAATGGGTGAAGAGACCACCAGATT